TTATTTTTCTTTTGGAGAAGTACATGCTCTCTAAAAAAGATAGTTATGAATGTGTGGAATGCATGGTATGCTACTGTATGATAAAAGTATATTATTAGTAAAAGATAAGAGTTCAAAAGAATATGAGCAATATGACAGCTGTACTTTAATCTAGGATTTTGTGACGTTTAATCAGATGCAAATATTATTTACAAGATTTGCTCAACAGGAAACTGGCTATGGTTGGCATCTGGACACGAGACGTCTTCTTCGTTTCACAGCACGTATAGTCAACCAGGGAACTGAGGCATTCCGTCCCATCCTTCCAAAGCAGTATTGGGAATGGCATGCCTGTCACATGTGAGTGTTCAGTAGATGTGTATTTGCTGGGAAGAAACTTGTAGATTCATATAGAGGTAACTTACTCCTAGTTACTGAACAGTAAGTTGGTTAGTTGTGCTAGAAATCTTAGACTTGTAGCTGTAATGAAAGCTATTTATGTATATTTTTAAAAATCACTTAAACCATACTAATTAGATTTTCTTTTATCTTCATAGAAAACATATGCAAGTGTGTGATCCCATTTTCAGACCATGAATATCACATACCTATGTATGTCTTCATGCCAGTTAGGTTACTCAAAATAAAACAAGGTTAGATGTAAGGTATGCTTATAGTCTCCTCATACTTCAGGCACTATCATAGTATGGAAGTGTTCGCTCACTACGATGTCATAGACGCAGATGGAAACAGGGTGGCCGAGGGGCACAAAGCTTCTTTCTGTCTGGAAGATAACAACTGTGTTCCTGGGGTAGAACCAGTCTTCAAGTGTGCCAACTTTGGTGACCAGGGCATTAGTCCTGGTTGCACAGACACCTATGCGTACAACATTGACTGCCAGTGGATTGACATCACTGACATCAAGCCAGGCACTTATACTTTTAAGGTAAGTCAGTGGTGATTTTTTTTTTTAGATATTTTTTCTTTGTGAAACAATTTCTCTATCTATTGAACTAGATATTAATGGGACCTAAAAATATTATAGTCACAATCTATTTAGCTGCTATTCATTTTTAAAGGATCAAATACATTCAATAAGAATACCAGTAAAATAAATTTCCAACAATATGAATCTTTGATACTTTATAGGAGGCATAATTTATTGTACTGTATTAAATACATTAAATGAATTTCATTTGTAAATCTTTTTTTGTCTTCATGATGTCTGAATCTTGATAATACCTTACTGTAACTGGCACAAGAAGGGTTCTTTCAGTCATATGAATATTTTCATACTGATTTGTATTATATGTAGCAAAAGAAGGGAAATTCTTAATTTGATATATTCATTACTGCTTTAACCACAGTGGGTAGGTAATATTTGTGTCCTAACTGGCTTCATTTAAGTCATTCATTTTGGTCTTTAAACTTGTGAACAGTCACTCGTAAAGAGATTATGATATTAAGTCCCCTAAGTAACTAGTTTATGAAATGTTTTGCTTTGACATTGAGCGCATGATATTTCCTGATTTTATTTATAAGGTTAAAACATATTTACTGTACATATTTAAGCAAAAACAAGACCGGAATGGATGCACAAAATTGGTATTGGAGAAAAGTTATTTTTTATGTGCATGATTTTCATTACAATTGCTTTATATGCTTTTGTTTTATTGCTCAGGGTATAGTTAAAAATTTAATAGGAAATGTTTTGAGTTACCATTTTGATAACAAAATCTAAATCCAAAATCTGTGTTAGGTATATATATTATCACCAGTTTTTCAGATATTAAAGAAAAGAAATGTTTGCATGAAATTTAGCTTCAAATAAACAGATATGATTTTCCAAAGACTCAGTCCCAAATGTTTTGCCAACACCTGTCCTTACAGTTAGCAGTAAACCCAGAGTTCAAGGTGGGAGAGATGTCCTTCGATAACAACGCGGCTGTGTGTGAACTCATATATTCGGAGACTACTGCATGGGTCGGCAATTGTTCTCTCGCCCGGCCTTGATGCTATCTCAAACGCAGCACCTCAGACAGAGACCACTTTTTCCCAATAATTACAGCATCCTCTGGTCTCTGAGATTCACAATGCATGAGGCAATATCTGTTACTAATGCTTTTGGTTCCCTGAGGCATTTGTGATGGAGGTCATGGCTCTGTTGTTGAATCTATTTACAGTCTGTTTTCTTTTCCACATTGGAGAAACCAAGTGAACTGCACAGCTAACCCACTGGATTCTGTGCCTTTACTACAATCAGTGTGTTTGTCTAGCAGAAAGAGAGTGCTTCTAAATCTAAAAAGTTATGGCTATTTATGTTACTTCTTCAGCTTGATTCACTTTGGGTATTCACATTGAATATCAATTGTTATATCTTCTCCATCTGTCATTTCCTAGTCTTTGTAAGGTGAACAACACATATCACTCTCATTTAGACTATTATTAGACTATCCTTACATATACATGAATATTTATTATTAAGTAGCTGTGAATGCTTTATTGATCTTATTCATATCATGTACTATGTATTTGAAAAGCAGCAGAATCTCAGGAACTAAAAAAGATCTAAAGAAAATATATTGATGTTTATGTTATTGATGATGTAGATTCTCAATTATATTTTCCACTCCACTGTGCATTATACATTATGTTCAGATCTTACTTCATCTAATGCATGACTACAACTTTGTAAAATATGTAAGTTTTGTGATTTTTGTCATAACTTTTTTCTCCTTGATGAAATCATGTTATATCTTGTTTTAAAAAGTCATGGAACAATTATCAAAGATGATTGTTCCAGTGATGTCACAAGGAAGTATTACAGTATTTTTAGCTTTATTATATTTCTAATGCTGTTAACAACAAGATTTTGAAATGGTTTTCAGCTGGCAATAAACCCCGAATTCAAAGTAGGAGAGATGTCATTTGACAACAATGCTGCCGTCTGCGAGTTCATTAATACTTTAACAAGTGTCTGGCTTGGAAATTGCTATCTGACTCGACCGTAACACAAAGGCTAGAGTGATTGTTGATGTTTTTGTTTGTTAAACTGTACATTCATCTAATTAGTATTGTTATTTTTCTCTTATTTTGTTAATGAATACATTAACATCAAAATGTAATTATCAAAATACCTTCATGAGAGTAAAATGTTATATATTGTATATATATATGCAGCTAACATTTTAGAATAGTTGAAATATAATATATCTTGGTATTTTGAAAGTGAAGTAAATCATTTTAATTGTGATGATAACTTCAGATTAAGATTCAAATACATTATTAATCTTAGTTAACCAACTCAAGTTCTCATGGTAACCAATTTCTATGATATGATAGTATTTGCCAGTATCTGTAACTAGTCTTTGCCCAAACTTATCATTGGGTACTAAACTCACTGCCAATTCACACACTAGTATCTGTGTGTGCTTGTTAAGTAGATTAGTGTATTTTTGCTGAATATTTAAATAAATGCTATTGCCTTATAACACTCTTGGGATATTACTTACCAATAGTAGGGTAAGATATTGTACTTAATAATTATGTAAGTTATATTAACATATAACCAGAATTGAATCTATTAACGCAAAAAAAAACAATCTTTTTAAAAACAGTTTTGCTCATAAGAATGTATATTTGATTTTGACATTTATTTTTGTTTCTAGGCATTATTATGAGATTTTTGCATTTCCTCAACTGAAGCCGATATTTATGGGGGAAATGTACTTTACATAATAAAAGGGTGTTAAAAAGTAGACTTTATTTTTTATTAGCACCTTTAAAAATGTATGTTCAATACATTACATTTTTGTCCTTAAATATTTTTCCCCTCAAAATACCGTATTTTTTGTTTTTTCCTCAAGATTTTTTATTGTGCAGTATAGGTCTTGTAATTAGTACTTCTCTTATTTTTATTATGATGAGTATATTTTGTAGTATTATATACATGATGTTGCTTATAATTACTTAGGGAATTCTGCCTAGTATGTGTGATAAAGCAAAAACTATATTGTTAATAAAACTTATAATTGTTGGAAGGGTTTACTTTCCAGTACTCATGAAGTGTTTCTTCTTTACTTTTATCTGGAAAATTTCCAATACTTTATGAAAATGGCAACTTCAATGCATAGATCTAGTTCAAAGATAAAAGCATCGCCACAATGCTCAGTGGATTTATTTACTTTAATTACTTTACCTTTGTAGAGTTATCTTATTTTTGACTACTGTAGAATCTAATGATTTTGTAGTTATTCTCATTTTAGAGTACGGATGTTACATAAAAACTCTTTGTGAATCAATTTTTATTTCGTTTTTCATTTGCAAAGCAAGCGAAGGCCATTAGTTTAATACCCGTATTTTAGAGAATTGAACATGACCTGCCCTATGGAAACTTCAGAATAGTTTTGTGGAAAGAATAAAAAGCAATTCATCAGGATTGTCATATCAGTTGATGTTTACAATCATGTAACAATTGACATACACAGAATAAATTAATTTGTATGACTGTAAGAAAAGAAAAAAAGGTTGAAATAAACACAGCATATTGCATAATGCCCATGAGGCCATAATATTTTATTTCTTTCAACTTCATTCCTAAAACTATACATCTTTGGTTTGAAAACTGACATCATGTAAACATCGAAAACAGGATATAGAAATAGTATTGAATACTTCCACCAGATATACATTGGTAGCTCCTGGCTTGCCTTTTGCATTGGGTCGTTTTGTAAAGTTTGATTCTGTAAACTCAAAAGAACTCGTATGATCCATGAATAGACATGTGTATATATTTTTTAATAAATTTTCATATCTTTATCATCTTTTTCATAATAAATAATCAAAATTCTATTCTAAACTTTACGTGACCCAACACATTGGCTGCAAGAACCCCTGTTGTTTGTGGTGGTTTCGGAACGGGTTAATATCACATGTCGAAGCCCAGGGTTTTGTACTCACCGAAGTGAAGCAAATATTTAGGGGAAGATTTAGTTTAGCTTATCATTAAGGATATAAGCTAAGAGAGACCGCTTAACTACGTATTACAGTGGCTCTCAAGAATGTAACAGGGTTCAAAATATCCTAAAAATTGTAAATACTGCCAGTATATGCTCTTAGGTAACTGAACCCATGTGTGGGTCAGCTGTAATTAACAAGATCTGTATGCTTTAGGAGATCATTGATGCTGAAGCCTGTCAGATTATCAGGACATTAGAGTTAGTCCATAAATAATGAAAAATATAATTATATAAAGAGAAGACTGGAATAAATTGGCTTCAAAATATTTATTGCAACACTCTCCTCAAGAGAATGCAGAGAGGATTCGCAGGAGTTGTTTTATCACTGTCAAATCTACAGAAATTAGAAATTTCAGAATACTAAAAAGACTATGCAAAGTATGTGGTCTTTGTAATATACAAGAAATCCTCCCCTTGTAAAAGTAAATAATATATTTGCATATATAGGGTACAAATAAATAATGTGAAGAAACAGTATAACAGAGTTATGGAATTGGTTATAATACCATGGAATCTATTAAGATGGAGATGGATGACATACACAGTTTGAGATTACAATTCACTGAAGTGGATTAACATAAATCATTCTTGTAGCTGTTGAACTGCTATGCATTTTCATTCTTCTAAAGAAAAATTTATTCAGAGTTACAGTATTATATCTTTTGTTGTTAAATGATCAACAAATATCACAAAAATATCATTTCGCAGGAAGGAGCACTGACATTAAAAGTTACAATGCAGGAGAAATTCTCTTTGGCAACTGGCCATTTTACTGAGGTACATTTCTCAACATGTAATATCCTTTGCATCCACTTATGATTGCAGTATGTACAGCTATGGGTCCTAGGCTAAGATGAGGGGCTGAACTTCATTTAAAACTGTACAGTGTGTGAACTCTACGAAAGATCTAAGTAACTTTTTTTTATGTTATGCATATAGAAGGATTTTTTTCTTTCTATTTAGTACCATGAGTTTTAGCCTGAAGAACAACGCGAGGTACAGCCAAAAAGGTTAACAAACAGCTCTCTGGATCATCTAATTTGAAGACTTGATACTGTGGAGTAGTCTGCTTTTGTTCCTTAACTTCATTTTCACTGCAATTTGTTATTTCTTAAATCCCACATGTATTACTATCATATATATATATATATTTTCCCCTTTTTTTCATCTATTCATTGTGACTGGGAGAGATATTAACTTAATATGAACTTCATCTAATTGCTATTTACAAAATATAAAAACCAGTTTCTCTTTTGATCTCAGATAAAGAGAAGAAATAAAGAATATTATGTAGAAACAATAATGAAAGTTAATGTTCAGATTTATGTGAGGGACACCTGCTTAAACAACAATTACAGATTTTTCTGCCCTTATTAATACTAATAATTTTCAGATATATAAAAAAATCCTAAAAACTTCCTTTCAGAAATAAAGTCTTCATTAAAATCTATTTACAAAATAAGAATAAGATAAATCCCATCTCTTGTAGTTATTTAGACATAATTAAGAAAGAAAATTGATAATTACATACCAAATTAATTGAAGAGTCAACCTGTTCTACCTAAATTGGACAATAAGATTGCAACTTATAGCTTCCATATTATTTGGGAATAACATGATTAAATCACTTCCACATGAGAGTATTATCTTTTTTCATATCTAAATATTACTCATGAGATGCGATAAGAGATTGTTTGCAAAACTGATCACTGAATTGAAATTAAAAGAAATTACAATTTACTAGACGCAATAAAACATCCCAGCACACATACATGCATGCACGCACACTTCACTGATCTATCAGGGTTAACATAACGTCATCTTCATATAATCTTTATATATACATAAAATACTGAACACTTGGCCACGGATGTTGGATACCCCATCTCAGCCATTAGCAGGTTGACCCCACAAGGAGAGATATGACTTAAGACGAGGCTTTCTATATTTCAACCCTTAATTGACACTAGATTACTAATATACCTTACTATTCTAAGGTAAACATTATGCCTGGAACATACCAGCAAATACTCACATTGTCACACAAATATGCATACACATGCAAGCACAAACAAAAACACCATACACACAGACAAACATTCCCTGAAAGCATTATGAATAAGAGTGAATAATTTTAGACTGCAGTATACATTGATCAATGTATACTGCAATTAAGTTACATATCGTACACTGTGAAACTATTTCTTTTTAATAATTCTTTAAAAAAACATTTGCCTCTGTGATCTCTTTCCATACCTATACATACATACATACACATATGCATACGTACATTCATTCACACACACGCACTTTTTCATTCCTAGCACTGTACTACAAGATTATGGAGGTGTAGCATTGTAGGACACAATTATAGGTTCTGGATGGTGTAATATAAAATGTACAGACAGCACTATCAAAAAGTGTCTGTTATCATGGAGATGAAAGCCTAACTGACCTCCCATAGAGAGAATCAAACTTGCTTTGGGACTCTGCAAATGGACTCAAAGTCTGCGAATGTCCTAAAATATTTGTAGTAAATCTTTCTAATACACACAACAATGGCTAGAACAACAAAGCTTATAGCATAAAAACTGGTATTTGAGTAATCTTTCTCAGCATCTATCAAGTGATAATCTTTGGATATGTAAAACGTATTCAAACACTGGAAACTACCTACAGGAAACAACTTTAGTTTATCTAATATGGACAAAACAATAATAATAAAAAATAAAACAGCACAATTAATTGCATTTAACTCTAATAAAATACCTAACTATCTGGCAGAAATCATATCATTTTTTCTCTGCTGTGTAAATCATTGAATAAAAATTGTCCTATAACAATGGGCACCATCTTTTCCTGTACTATACAGTGTCAAATTTTAGATTCCCAGTATTGAAGAATCAATATTCCTGACGTATACTTTACTCTACACATTTACTTATGTATCTACCGCTGCCTCTAGTCACCTTTCACAATTACATGCTAATAACCAAAGCAACCGGACTGGCATAGCTTGACATATGTGGTATTTTATCTTCACCAATCAAGTATGTCAAAAAATGAAAAAGAAAAAGAGAGAAAAACACAGAATTTTACCATTCTCTTTGAAGTTTTGCACTTCTAGGTCCATTTTCTGAGCTTAGAACTTGGTGACTACACATAGTTTATTCTATGAATAAAACACTGAAAAAGTTGTGGTTTAGAAAGTAACATTTATATTCAGTGACATGAATTGTAATAAACACTGAAGATGTCTTTAAAAAAATCTTGCTTTAATAATCATATTGATATATGTGAAATGCTGAAGATAAACAATAATTATGCACTTCCAATATTATCATCATATTTCCTGTGGTTGAATCAAATTATGAAAATATGTGTGACATCATAATTTCTTCAGAATGGCCTGTTAGCAAGGTCTCTCATGTAGGATCTCATCTATTTCATTTATATAGATTCATTCTTAATGATCTTAGAGGAATTTCCTAATAATTCACATTATGGCATTTAGTAAGCAACTTTTTCTATTGATAAGATCACTTTAGAATAGACTGTCTTTTCTAAAAAGAACATCTACATCGAGTCTTTACAAAAGTGTTCTTATCACTGAGAGAACAAAGCTGAAGGTGTTTCAGTGATGAGAATAAGAACTTAAACTCAACTTAGAATAAAGATTAAAGGAGACAATGCCCAGCAAAGGGCTCGTCAAAATGTGAATGAGCCTGTCCCTCGAGATACAGCTACAACTTCGTGTGTCGGATGTTGTCAGTCCACAGATTCTGGATGGTCATGGATTCAAGGCTGTTTAGGAAGGAATCATTGTCCAGGCTGATTAGATCCTCTGGGCTCCCCTGTGGAAGGAATAAAAACAGTCGTTAGATTTGGCATCGTTTTTCGCTGCAATAAGAGAGAAAGTTTGGTATAGAGGCTGATGAGCTATGCCATTTTGTAAGAGAAAGGACCACTAGTTAGCCACTGAGCTTTGGTTGGAAAGCTGCAAGAAGCCCTCTGCAGTTAATTGGGGTATAATTCATGTGATTTGTTAACCATAATCTGTCACTATGACTTATAAAACTTACAGAAGCGTAGTTGAATACTAAAATTTAGGTAAGTCAAAAGTTTTGTAAATCACAACATCCCAGGGAAAAAAAGCCAATATACTTAGTACAAACAAAATCAATTCTAGGATTCCTTCCGGATGTATATACTTAGTAACATTAACTGCAACTTTCACTTTACAGTATAATATAACCAGAATCTAATGCTATTCGACCACATGTGCAATAATTACCAAGTGAAAATACATTACTATGCATCAACCTTGTAACTTACACGTGTTTTTTACTTCTCTTTGACTCCACCTAACTGTTGAATACGTTGAGAAGCTTGTGCATTTTCAAATGAACTAAATGTACATCTGAATGCATTACTCACATTATTACAATAATGATGTCTGATGTTTAGATGTAATAGAACATATATTCACTCACTGTAACCATAAAAGCATAGGATATTAGCAACTTTCCCTTAACTGAAAGGATGGATGTCTCGAGATATTATCATCATCACAAATTTATCCAAAAGTTTCATCGGTAATTTTTCATATTTCACATCCCAATCCCTACTGGGCTTCATTTCTTACTGAAATGATTCACCTGTTCCTTAAATGAAAAAGGAGGGAAAAGCAGAGAATGAATTGTAATACCTCAATCAAACTCTAATTTGATACAACTGATAGGGACCAATTATGGGGAAGTAATTCTGTATTTACTTTTCAAACCACTGATCCACTATTTACATTTCACTATATATTTGACTTCAGAAAAGAAAAACATCACTATTACTTATTTCTTACTCAAGATGGTTGCAATAGAGGGTTGCTAATCAGTATTACAAAGGTTCAAGCTCGACAATTTTTTGGTATATCTGAAATACTTTTGTAAATTCATGTTGCCAAACTATATGAATATACTACACAAATCCTCTGTATGTTATCCAAT